GATAATATAACGGCTAAATTATTCTCAGATCCATTAATCAGAGATGTATGACATATCATATCACAGGAGTTCTACGAAAGTTCTCTAGCGCTATATACACTTTTCATAATTTTATGCTAATCATTTTACAGATCCCGCGCAAAGAAACTTTATTGAATTTTCAGATAAATGCCTTTCTGGCTAAGAAATATAAAAAATGGCTAGGAAGATAGTGTTTGAAATAAATGATACCTATAGAGCTATAAAGACTCTAAGAGGGTGAGAGTTCTCAGATTCTAAACCATAAATGAGAGTTATAGCATCATTTTAATTCGCATCACTACCCCTACTATTGCTACTACTATCATTATTATTCGTAAAATTAACTCTCCTTCTCCCTTCCCTTTCTCTCTTCCTTCCTACCCATGTAATAATTTTATCTATTGATGTGACCCTTAGGGTCTTTTAGTGTCGATAGAAATTGGCTAGTGTGGCAGGACTAAGGCGAATTTCTTAGGATAATATATTGTATATCTGTGTAGGAGAATGCCCATCTCTTCTCCTTCTTTGATCAAATATGGCCGTGAATTTGATCCAGTACATTTGTATTTCATCTGTATATTTGAAATATTGCAATACACGGCTTGTGAAAGAAAACCTGTTTGAACCAGCTATAAAGGTACAATTTGCATATTAGTCTCGAGAAGTCACCGCTAAATACTAATTCAATCATACCTTGTGAAACAGCATCATTTCTCCAATCATTTTCAGTACGCATCCTATGGAGCTCATTATTTAGCGTCAGGATTGATCTTTCAAGATCATTATTTCTTCCAGTCTGTTATTTGCGAAAATAGACGATTACTCCAGCAAAAATTAAATATAGGAATAAATTTCCTGAAAAAATAGCTTAGAGATTCTCAATGCTTATAACTCCTCGGGATATCATCTCATAAATTAATACTACAGCGCAAAAGAGTACAAGCAGAGAAATATCAGTAAATGAAAGCATTTTATTATTAAATTTGTTTTAGATAGTTTATGCACAAAACTTTGCAAAGTGCCTGCGAAGTGCCTTAATGGCTAACGGCTATTTTTTTGATTTGTTTTCTTGTTAGAGCAACTCCGATACTTCCTGGTACTTTTATATTTAAGATTACTCCGCAGTTGATAGATATGATTATCAAAAAATATAACAGTCTCTGGTGATCTTACAGTCTATTATTTAGTCAATCCTGACCTGCAAATTACCCTGTATTAGAATGTATTAGCTTAGCGATCAAAAAGTAGCATATATAATTTTATCGTTACTGGTCAAGAGATCATATGCAGTATTTAATATTTTTTATTTGCGAGACATTCCTAACCTCAAGCTCGACGATCTTAGCCACAAGTTTAGCATTTTCTTCACTAAGTAAATTTCAGTGAAAAAAATAAACTTATAAGATAATCCAGTACTAAAATATGTGATAATTCTCCTAGGCAGATATCAGAGATATAATAGGACTCATAATTGGTGAGACCTTCCTTTCATATCTTCCATCACGATAATAATAGCCTCTATCACGACCACTATATTCATCATATTCACCGTATCCATTATATCCATTATCGTCCAATTCATCCTTCGGTGCATCTCTTCTTCAGAATCATTGTCGTGACTACAGTCATTATCAACTTTCGTTTCTTCCACTGGATGGGATGCAGAATTATGATCGACTTCCTCATCAAAATATACATCATCATCTGACTGGACCCTGGGGACTCCCTTAACTTTGTTCACCTCTTCTTTCTCTATCTTAGCCTCATTCTCGTATGATGTACCCCCATAAAGAGTCTCATCATCAATACCCCTAGTGAGCATTTTTATATATTCCTTTTCATCGGCTGATAAGGATGAATTAGCTATAGTTTCGGAGATTTTGGTCATACGATTTGGACGATCTGAGGTCAGCGAAAATTCTGGCTTAATAAAAGAATTAGAATTATTAGAAAAGTGATCTATAACCTTTTGGAGATCTGTATTAATAATTTTTGAGATAGAATTTGCGCTATAAGTTTTGATATACCGGATCTTATCTATACCTATTTATTTGAATAAATCAAAGATTTTTATAGCTCACTGAGTTTGCTTACATAAATTATCTTGCTTAGAATTAAGAAGTTGTTAGACAATAAAATCGTAAATCTGCCCTTTTGCCTTTTTCTCACCAACTCTATCGCTGGCCATGATATCTTTAACTATAATTAAAAATTCTTTAGCATACAAGTACCAGTTTAATATTTCCTCTTGATTAGCTTTCATTACAAGACCTTCTGCATCGCTGGCTCTTTGATATAAGCAAATGATATTTTTCTTACCCGAGATAAGCGAAATTTCTGGAGGGTTGGGAGACAATGCGCATATGGAACTATTCTCCTGAATAGATGAAGAAGTAGCGGATTCAGCTAAGTTACGAGAAATTTCTTGAATTAATGCCTGCCCATTTTTTGTACTCATGAGCTTTTCAGAAGAAGAGATACTAGAGGTAGTATCAGATATTTTTTGTAATGATACTTGATCTTCCACTGCTTTACTAAGTTTCTTTTTCTTATTATGTTCCCTAATCTCATTGCTAATGCTTTTCTTATGGACCTCAACCAAGAAAGCATCTGTCTCCATATCCTCTGATGTCTTCTCTTGATCTGGTACCTTTGGTACCTCTTCGATCTGCTCTGTTAGTTTTAACTGATTATGAACTTCGTGAATAGGTGACGAATCAGATATAACTGATACCTCTGATGACACTTTTTTATCATTCTCTGGCTGTCCATCCACTATCGGGGGATTCTGTTATAATATCGCAAGTCTGGCTTCAAGCTCTCTGACTTTAGACTTGAGTTCAATATTTTCAGCTGCACGTTTGGTATTCTCCTCGATAATCTGTCTCAATTTCACATTCTCAGTCTCAAGCTCGGTAATACGTTGTCTCAATAATTCAAGCTCGGATGATATGATTGTAGTATGTTTTATACAGAAAGGGAATTGTTCAATATATCTAATGATACTTACATAGATACAAGGAAAAAA